TGAGCCCCATCCCCAGCCCTATTTTGTAGTTTATTTAGAGCCAGGGTCTCACTGAGTTGCTTAGGGCCTCACTTTTGCTGAGACTGGCTTTGAACTCGAGATCCTCCTGCCTCAGTCTCCCAAGCTGCTGGGATTACAGGAGTGCACCACGGCGCTTGGCTTACATGTTTCAGGTTTTAACATTTTTTATTTTTTAAGGGGAAAGTCTTTCCTTTATAAAAGGACAAGAAAGGACTGGGGCTGGGGCTCAGTACTTGCTAGCATATGTGAGGCACTGAGTTTGGTCCTCAGCACCACATAAAAATAAACAAATAAAATAAAGGTATATAAAAAAAAAAAAAGCCAGGTGTGGTGGTTGTACACCTGTCATCCCAGCAGCTTTGAAGGCTGAGGCAGGAGGATCATGAGTTCAAATCCAGCTTCAGCAACAGCAATGCCCTAAGCAACTCAGTGAGACCCTGTCTCTAAATAAAACACAAAATAGGGCTGGGGATGGGGCTCAGTGGTCCAGTGCCCCTGAGTTCGATCCCCGGTACCAAAAGAAAAAAAAATTCTTATGTTTTGGAGAATGAACGGATGTCCCACCCACAGACGGGTCCTTCTGCCACTCCAATTCTTGCTTGGATGTAGTGAAGATGGCAGGGTTGGCCTCAGAGAGCACAGCCCCTGCTCCAGCAGCAAGAACTGCACCTCTTCACTCTGCTGAAGACCTGAATGTGTTACATGGTGCAGTTGTTATGCAGAAGGTAGAAAATAGTAGGTGCTAAATAAACATGTACCAAGTAGTCATTCTCTTTTGTCTTGACTCGGGCAGAATTTTGCAGAGATACCTGGGGTTTTCAGGATCCCTTTCACCCAGTGGTTCTTCCTTCTCCCAGGAACGCAAGGCCACCTTTGGAGATATATTTGGTGTCGCACCTAGCACCTAGTGGGCGGGGTCAGGGATGCCACTAAGCATCTTGGGATCTGCAGGACAGTTCCTGCACCAAATGACTTTCCAGCTGGAAAGGTCAGCGGTATTGCAGGTCAGAAATCCTGCTGACCATAGAAGGATTTCTGCCATAGCTTGTCAACAGTTCTCCAGATTCTTACTGAAGTATTACATACTGTAAATTTCTCACCATAGAATCTGTAGGAGACAGGGTATAGACCTCAGTTCTGCTAGTCTCTGGATGGCATTATGTTCCTTATTTGGAGATGGCGTGGTGGTGCACGCCTATAATCCCAGCAGCTGGGGAGGCTGAGGCAGGAGGATCTCAAGTTTGAGGCCAGCCTCAGCAATTCAGTGAGGCCCTAAGCAACTCAATGAGACCCTGTCTCTGAATGAAATATAAAGCAGGCTAGGGATATGGCTCAGTGGTAAGTGCCCCTGGGTTCAATCCCTGGTAGAAAAAATTTTTTTTTCTTATTTGGGATGAGCAGAAGCAAAGGACATTAACAGCATCTCTGATTAGTTTTTGGTCCAGTCATTTGAAATCACAAGATAAATGTCTTTCCTTTCTAGCATCATCTGTTATATTTATCATTTTCCACACTATTTTAAGAAGGCTGGGTTTTGCAGCTAGTGGAGCTTGTGAAACTAAACGCTTGTCTTCAAAATACTTCTCTTAAATGGGAGGTGGCTTTTCGTTTGCATTACATTAAATTGAAGGCATTTCTCAGAAGAAATAGAATAACAAAGAGCATCACCTGAAGGGACCTTAGCAACCCTGAGATCAGCAAGATCAGCGGGGAAGATGAAAGGTTCCCAGCTCCAACGGAAGCAGGTCCCTCAGCCCTAACTAGCCTTTAGCATCCCCCTCCGGCTCAGAGCAGGTGAACGGTCACTGTGATTTCTCTTGATAGAAAAACGGGTTTAATCCAGTCGCAGACAACTAATACCCCGTGAAACATCAGAATTTTTATTAGGAAAAGATATTTAGGGCTCCAATTTTTCTAATCTTACAGTATATTGAACAGCTTTTCAAAGTCACAAATAGCTTTGCAAATAACAGACTTGCAAAGACCTCATAATTTGAAATTTGAAACCCATTTCTTCCAAGCAGCAGGATCCTTTTAAACACCTTTAATAGCCATTCACCTTTTATTGGGCAAATAGAGACCCTTCAAATAACTTGAAAAGATATTCCCTCCCTGGGGAGCACTTCTCCTCTCCTTTTTTTTTTTCCTTTTTGTTATTGGGGTCAGGAGCACTTAACCACTGAGCCACATCCCCAGCCCTTTTTGTATTTTATTTAGAGACAGGGTCTCACTGAGTTGCTTAGAGCCTCGCTAAGTTGCTGAGGCTGCCCTTGAACTCGAGATCCTCCTGCCTCAGCCTCCCAAGCCACTGGGATTATGGGCTTGTGTCACCACGCTTGGCAAGTTTACCTCTTAACCCTTGGCATTCTGTAGGTTAGTGTCAGCTAGAGAACAGAGAAAAACTTCAGAGGAAGAGAGAATAACACGAGATGGGGACGCCCTTCCATTTGCAAATTGGAACCATTTGTTTAACAGCGTTAATCATTTTTCTTTCAAAACAAATCACAGCAATTTCAGGTTAATGCTTCCCGGAGAAGTTCACTGTGGATGAGTCAAGTGACCTTCAAAAATGCCACGGGCCCTCCCACCCCTCCCTTCTGGAATTGGGGGGTTGAATCAGATCCTAGCATCAGCCACTGCCATGGTTGGTGGAAAGCCTTCCCGGGCCTCGGTGCCATCCAGGACGCTTAATGGTGCCAGAGAACAATCGGCTTCAGTAGAAAATTGCAAACAGGTTAACTTTGGAAAGCCCAGGGCCAGATTTAGCAGGAAGCAGGCCCTTCAGGTGTCACAAGAAACAGAATAAGCTCCTGGCTCTGCCTTGGTGTGGGGACGCCATGCTCAGGTGCTGGGGGCAGAAGGCCAACCCCTGCTGGAGTTTTCTGACAAACTCAAACACGTGTGCTTTTTTTCTTAAACTGATTATTTAAACTCAATATTTCATTTTTATTTTATTTTTTATTTTTTGGTACTAGAGATTGAAGCCAGGGATGCTTAACCCCTGAGCCACATCCCCAGCCCTTTTAAATTTATTTTTATTTTGAGACAGGGTCTCCCTGAGTTGCTTTGGGCCTTGCTAAATTGTTGAGGCTGGCCTCAAACTTGTGATCCTCCTGCCTCAGCCTCCTAAGCGGCTGGGATAATTGGTGTGCGCCACTGAAATCTTTACTGAAACAAGAAATGAAAGATACAGCCACAACCCACAGGCTGCTGGAAAGAGCTTATTTCCTGCCAATATCCCAACACAAAACTATCTTTGATGCTCATGCACAAGTTTTCAGTGACTATTTCTAGTCTAAGAAAGATTATTTTCTTCTATGTAGTAAGAATCATAAAACCCAAGTGCCTGTAGGGCCTAGGAAAATAACATGAAATACATTTAGTGAGGACTCAGGTGATTTAGGGACATCAACTTTTGTCCATAAATTAAAGCCTGCTCTCAATTCCCACCAGTTAGGTCTTTGCAGAAATAAGATCATAGATTCGCAAAATCTGATATAAATACAAACACACACATCATCAGATATTTCTACTTTCCAAGTACCATTAATTAATTAACTAAAATTAATCAGCACCTAATTACTTTTAAATAATAGTTTGCTGGCTAGATAAATCCCACCTGTATGCCCAAGTTCATCTGCCAGTTTGTGAAGTTCAATAGAGAGGAAGAAAATGAGAAATAAGCAATAGAAAGAGATGCTAGACGTTTCCCTCTGTTGACATGATGAGTGAATTCTGGGGTCTTTCATGATTATAAAGGACTCTGTGAAAGCATCACCATATCTGAAATTCCTTTTTATTTTTGGTACCAGGGATTGAGCCCAGGGGCACTTAACCACTGAGCCCTATCCCCAGCCCTTTTTATTTTTTATTTTGAGACAGGGTCTCATTGAGCTGCTGAGGGCTTCTCTGAGTTGCTGAGGCTGGCCTCAAATCTGTGATCCTCCTGCCTCAGCCTCTCCCACTCAAATCACTGGGGTTACAGGCATGCGCCACCACACCAGGCAGACCTAAAGTTCCTGATTCATAATTTCAAAGCTGTTTAAACTTTAAAAGAGTCTGACATAAAGAGCCCCAGAGAATGAGGTTTAATGGGTCAGAAGAAGGTAACGGTCAAATACTTGAGCTTCTGGCAAAGCTCACAAAGAAAATGGAGAAGACACTCAGGGTACGGACCTGCTTTTAAGCCAGCCTGGGGCTGTTAGCTGAGAAAATTCCAAGAACCGGAAAAAAAAAAAAAAGTGCAAAGCAAACTCTATATATTACTGAGAAAAATGCAGCAGGGCAGAGAGAAACCAAATTCTTCTCATCAAGCCAATAATATTTACCGCCTCTGGGTAGTGCCCAAATATTTCAGGAAATGTCGATGTCTTTCTTTGTCAAGTCAGGCCAGACTGAATATTGAAACACAGCATATAGCACCAGGAAGAATAACCAAATCAACACCTCCGCCTCCTCTTGTGCAAAGAATCTGAACAGGAAGATTCCTGGCCAGGCCCCAGAGAGATGGTGCATGCCCATAATTCGGGCGGCTCTGGAGGCTGAGGCAGGAGGATCGTGAGTTCAAAGCCAGCCTAGCAAAAGTGAGGCCCTAAGCAACTCAGTGAGACCCTGTCTCTAAATAAAATACAAAATAGGGCTGGGGGTGGGGCTCAGTGGTTGAGAGCCCCTGAGTCAATCCCAGGGAGGAAGGGAGGAAGCAAGATGCATGGCCAGTGTCCCTTCTCTTTTCCCCACTGACAGTGACTGTTTCAAAGCGGTGTGTCCCAGAGTCTCTAGATGATCTGGGAACGATACAGAAGGAATCTGCAGTGGACCCCTGGGGCTCCACGTCACTTCCCTCCCTGTTTCCCTCTGACACCCCGACTCTTCTGGCCCCAAACCCTGGTCTGATGGATGAAGTCCACTCTCGCTCTGAACCGCGGTCAGGAAGGAAGGCAGGACAGTGGCCAGGGCCACCCTCCCTCCGGGCACAGTACCTGCTCGGGCTTCAGCCCCGGGGGCACCCAGGCGTACTCCTCCAGGGCGCAGCCTGAGTCGTCGTCCGACGTGGAGTTCCTCTGGAAGTCGAACATGAGTTTGCTGATGGTCTTCTCCATCTCCAGGGGCATCACCGTCACCATGTGCTCCTCCTGGGGACACTTGCAGTGCAGGCAGATCTTCCTGTGGGTGGTAAAAACAGGGTGGGTAAGAGGGAGGACTAAGAAACCACCTGGTCAAGGGCCTGCCAGCCACCAGCCCTTGGATCCCACACAGCCCTGGGTGACAGGCTTCTGAGCACACCTGAGGGTGTGGAGGGTGTGGCACACGCGTGTCATAGGAAAACAGCAAGAAAGGTCAGGGTTCACAAGGCACCCATGTTGAGGAAGTTGATGCTTGGACCACAGACTTCTCTTCTAAATCAATAACCCAAGCTGGCCGCAGTGGTGCACACTGGTAATTGCAGTGTCTCAGGAGGCTGAAGCAGGAGGATCACAAGCTGGAGGCCAGCCTCAACAACTTAGTAAGACCGTGTTTCAATAAAAAATAAAAAGGGGGGCTTGTGGTGGCAGCTCAGTGGCAGAGCGCTTGCTTAGCAAGTGTGAGGCACTGGGTTCCATTCTTAGCACCACATAAGATAAATAAAATAAAGGTATTATGTTCATCTACAACTAAAAAATTAAAAAATAAAAATAAGTACATAAAAAGGGCTGGGGATGTATCTCAGAGGTAGGGTGCTCTTGGGTTCAATCCCCAGCACTGCCAAAAAAAAAAAATAATAAAAATAAATAAAATAAAAATAAATTAATATCCCAAGAAGAACAGTAATATAATTCTCACTTTACTAACTCAACCGCTAGATATTGATCATGATCACAATTTCCTCCACTGTTATACCAATTAAATATTCGAAATAAATACACTGACCAGAAACTACCAGTAGATTCAACAAACATTGACAACATACTGTTTTTATATTTATTTATTTATGTATATATTTTTGGTACCACGGATTGAACCTAGGGGCCCTTGACTACTGAGCCACATCCCCAGCCCTATTTTACATTTTATTTAGAGACAGGGTCTCACTCATTTGCTTAAGGCCTCACGGGAGTTGCTGAGGCTGGCTTTAAACTCTCGATCCTCCTGCCTCAGCCTCCCGAGCTGCTGGGATTACAGGCGTGTAACACCAAGCCTAGCGATATACCCGTTTAATAAAAGGTTCCTAAAGCCACACACAAAAAATAGGAAGAAATGGTTTTAAAAAGATCCATGGATGATATTTTCTTCAAGAAGAAGAGCAAATGTATTTTTCCCCCACTAGACAAGCCTGGCCCTGAGATCTCATGAGAAAAGCATTTTTACCTCTATTAAAGGTCCCTGGTTTGAAATTCTAATTGGAATCCCAGATTTTCCTGTATGTTGGAAGTTTTTTATATATACAAGAAGATCATGCATCTGAATTATTTCAAAAGGTAGCAGCCAAAGATAAAAATCTCTCCCCCAAACTGAACATTTCTGTTTTAAGGTTACCATCTGTTCCCTTATCCATGGCTGCAGAAACGAAGAAGTAATCAAAACACCAAAGTCAGCGCCACAACAGCATTTCTATTCCATGTGTCCTCTGATCCTTCCTCCTGGTTCCCTTAGCAATCTTCGTTTATAAAGGCAATGAGAGAGCTCAGGATTCTGGACCCCAACCAAGACTGAATTGTTTGACAACAGCTTTGTTAAGATTAACACTTTGCTAACATGCACAGTTCATTAGCTCCTATTATATTCATGAAATCCTACGATCATTACCCACCCCTCAAAAAGCCATGATCTTTAACAGTGACTTCCCAAACCCCCCACGACCATGTTCTCTGATAGACACTAATCTATTTTCTGTCTCTATTGCTCTTTCGATTCTTCGTGTAAATGAAACCACACAATATTGCATCCTTGGAAACTGGTTTCTTTCACCTAAAATGATGCTAAGGTGAATCCAAGTTGTAGCATGACTCAATCCCTCATTCCTCTTGATGGCTTAATAATATTCTGTTGTATGGACATACCACAATTCGTGTTCACCAGCTGACGAATATTTGCACTCTTTTGACTTTTGTGAATAATGCTGCTCTGAAAAATTAGATACAATTTTTTTGTGTGTGTGTGTGGCTACATGTTTTCATTCCCCATGAGATGCTATGTAGGGATGAGATGCTGGGTCATACCTCAGTTTACGTTTAATATTTTGAGGGACTGTCAAACTGTATTACAAAATATCTGCAACACTGCCTTTATCAACATCAGTGAAGGAGGGTTCCATTTCCCCTACATCCTTGACAAACTTGTTACTATCTATCTTTTTGACTGTAGCCATCCTAGTGGGTATGAAGGTGTCTAATTGTAGTTTTGATTTGCATTTCCTTAAAGGCTAATCAAGATGAGCACCTTTTTATGTGCTTCTTATATATCTTTTTATGGAAAAATATATCTATTTTTCCCCATTGGGTTGGGTTCTGATTGTTGTATTTTAAGTGGTCTTTAATATGGTTTCCAGATACATGATTTACCAGATATACAATTTGCAAAACTTGTTTCCTCATTCTGTGGATTGGTCTTTTACTTTCCGGATTATATTCACTGAAGCATGAAAAATTTGAATTTTGATGAAGTCCAGTATTATGGTTGGATGGGAGGTGTCCCCCAGAAGCTCACGGGTGAGATGGTGCAAGAAGGTCCAGAGGAGACATGACTGGGTTGTAAGAGCCTTAACCCAACCAGTGAATGAACCTCTGATGGGATTAACTGGGTGGTGGCTGGAGGCAGGTGGGTGTGGCTGGAGGAGGGGGCATTGGGGGCGTGGCTTTGGGGTCTCTATTTGCCTCTGGAGAGTGGAGTCTCTCTCTGCTTCCTGATCACCATGTGAGCTGCTTCCCTCCACCACACTCTTCCTCCATGATGTCCTGCCTCCCCTTGAGCCCCGAGGGATGGAGCCTGCTGTCTGTGGACTGAGACCTCTGAATCTGTGAGCCATTAAATAAACTCTTCCTCCTCTGCAGTTGTTCTGGTGGGTCTTTTAGTCACAGCAGTGAAAAAGCTGCCTAAAATATCCAGTTCAGTGTTTTTCTATTGCTCATACTTTGGTTTCATATCTAAGAAACCACTTTCTGGGGCTTGTAGCTCAGTGGTAGAGCACTCACCTTGCATGTGGAAGGCACTGGGTTCAATACCTGGCACCAAATTTAAAAAAAAAATGGGGGCATTGAATCCATCTACAAGTAAAAAATAAATTAAAAAAGAAACCACTTTCTAACCCAGGGTTATATTTTCACTGAGGAGTCTCATGCTGTTAGCTGTTACACTGAGGCTGATGAGCACCTTTGGGCTAATTTGTGCTGTGGTATGAAGCCCAACTTCATTCCCACATAGCTACCCTGGTGTCACAGTGCCATCTGTTGCAAAGACTATAGTCTTTCCCCAGTGAACTAGCTTGGCCCCTTCATCAAAAGTCAATTTGACAAAGGGTTTCTTTCTGGATTCTCAATTCTATTCCACTGACCCCACATCAGTACCTCCCTGTCTTGATTATTGGAGTTTTGTAGTAAGTTTTGAAATCATGAAGTCTGTGTTCTGCAACTTGTTTTACTGGAAAAAATGTTCTATCTCTTCTGGGTCCCTTGCATCTGCACTCATAAAATGTGAATTTCAGAATTAGTTTGCCAGTTTCTACAGAAACTCTAGCTGGGACTGTCATGGAGACTGCAGTGACTCTGTAGGTGAATTAAGGGTCACTGCCACTTTAACAATGCCATCTCTCAATCCATAAAGACAGGATGCCTTTCCATTTATTTATGTCTGTTTTAATTTCTTTCCATGATATTTGGTATTTTGTAGGCACAAGCTTTACCCTTCTTCAGTTTAGTTTATTCCTAAGTATTTTATTCTTTTTTGACGTTCTTGTAATTGGAATTTTTTCCCTGATTTCATTTGCAGATGGTCAGTGCTTAGAACCAGATATGATTTTCTGTATAGATGGTGTCTCTACAATTCTTTCTAACAGTGTGTGTGTTCTTTAGGATTTTTTATACACAAGACCATGTCAAATGTGAAGAGAGAGAGTTCTACTCCTTTCTTTCTAATCCGGTGTCTTTTTTTTTTCTTATCTTATTACCTTGGCTGGAACCTACACAATATTGAACAGAAGTGGAGAGACTGCATACCCCCATGTCTTGTTCCTGATCTTAAAGGAAACTTTCCAATCCTTGACAAATCCTATGTCAGCTGTAGGGTTTTTCTGTAGAAGCCTTTTATCAGGCTGAGTGTTTTTATCAGGAAAGGATGTTGGATTTTGTTAAGTACTTTTTTTTTTTTTTTTTGCATCTATTGAGATGATCAATCGCTTTTTGTCCTTTCTCTAATACATGTGTTATGCCTGAATTTTGACACAGAAATGTACTTAAAGAAACAGCATCAGTTTAACCCAGTCAAGTTAAGCTGTCCGATTCTCCCACCACGTGGGTCTCACCATACTGAAAAATATACAGACGGTACACAACCCCCAGATCTGGTTTGCATCTCCAAACTCAAAGAAGTTCCATCCAAACTCTGGATGTTGCTTTTAAAAATAGTCAGAGCTCATTTTAGCAGAAAAATCTTTAATCAATCAGCTACTGAAGAGGTCAAGGGTGTTGTAAAGCATCAGGAACTCACCCCCTCCCTCCCCAGGAAATTTAAAGCTAGTTTCTGTCATTTGGGGGGGGGGGGAATTTTAGTGTCTTCAATCAAATTTAGCAAGTTTTGTGGTGATGACCACTTTTTTCTAGAAACTCATAATTCAAAAACAAAACATAGGAACATTTTGTAAAAACCAAATTCAGATCCCAGAATCTCCATTGACGAAACTCATTTATTCGGCGGCAATCCAGGGGAGAGAGTGACATTTAATCCTCGGTGGACATGACCCAGTGAATATAAGATGCAGAAGGGGTGGGGGGAACATGAACAAAACCATGAACAAACAAGATTCAGAATGTGCCTTGTTGTGTAAATGGGGAGAGTGCTAAGGTCTCCATTTGGTCCCTCAACAAATAACTATCAACTCTAGGCACCTGAGATTTCTAACAAAAACAAAGATCTCTGCCTCACGGCACCTGAATTGATGGGGAGACGCCACTAACAACAAATGTGACCAATCA